ATCATCATTCTCATATAATCAGCTCAGCCCCCAAAGTAAAGGGAAAAAATATATACTTTACCATTTTCAATCACAGGTTCTTTAGAGACTAAAACATTCTTTGAGCAAAAACCTCATGAGAACTGAATTCCCTTTTCAATATGTGGTCTCTCCTAGAGCTGTAACTAAGTATTACTGAGTGGCAGAAAAACAAATCTCAAGAAATGATGACCTTAAAAAATTTTCATTGAAGAAGGCACAAAGCAAGTCCTAATAATACCAATTTGAAAATAATAGCTCCCCTGCTTCAAGAGAAGCAGATATAAAATCTCACAGTAATGTCTGAGAAGACCCACCTGGATCTGACAAGCCTCTAATGGACTTTAGACTTATTAAATAATGGACTAAATGGCTTGAATTAGAAATTCAGTTTTATTTCATAGTTGATTAAATCATTATTAAATTCATAGAACTTGAAATTAATAGTTCAATTCTTAATAAGTTTTAAAGTGAAATTCAATAGTGAACAACACAGAACATGAAATTAATGTTGTTAAATCCTTAGATGTCCTATGTTAAAATTCTATTAATTGTATGAAATTTAAAATATTTAGAATATTTTGTTTGTTCTACCAATCACGTTTTAAATCCATACATTAAATGGGAGGGATCTCATTAACATAAACATAAAAGTAAAAGTCTTCTGGACTAATATTTGTTAAATACCCACAAAAGACTCAACATGCCCAGTTTGGACTTCTCCAAAATTACATTCTATCTTTATATTCATTATCTCTTGAAACAGGGGAGCTATCCCTTTCCAAATGGTTTATTAACACTTTATGTATCCTGGGCTAGATACCTCTTAAGGCCCTCCCCTGGTCTAAAAGACTATGCTGCACTAAATCATACAACTGTTATTTTTAAGTTACAAATTTTCCTGAAGTCTCTGTACATTATTAGTAACACCTTTATCTCACTAGTAAAACTATTAAGAAAAATGGCCTTAATGTTCTCTTTATATGGAACAGAGAAAACAGAAGACCAAGACCTGAGTAACAGCCACAAACATAACCTGAACTAGAAAACAAGCTGTTTCCTCAAAATACTGAAACTATTATACTCAAAAGAAATATTACTCTGGGAAAGACAGATTAGGGTGCATGGCATCATGGGATATCTTTAGAACAAAGTTTCATTTCCAAAAGCAGAAGGTAAAAGCTTCTTCTTAAGTCATTTTCTCTTTAGCCAACAACAAATTCATGAATTTATGAATTCAAAGCACAAATAATAGACAGACATTAAGGATGTGCAAGTATAAAACCTTTATTTTTTTATGGCTTTACTACTTTAATGTGGTAGATATTTATTTCGAAAAGAATTTTTAAAAACTTTTTTCCCCAAGGGGCAACTAATCTATTCCAAAAAACTACTAAATGGTTATGCACCAGGAAAAATGTATTTAGGAAAATTATAGACTAATTTTTTATAAAAAGAAAAACATTGCACTTACTATTTCAACTAATAGTAGTTTTCTTAACACAGCAAATAATTTTTAAATTTCATATGATGGTCAGGTAAAGAGCTAGAGAGCAATAGTTCTCATAAGTATAAAACAGAAAGGGAAAAAGAAAAATCTAATATAGAAGGAAGAAAGCAGAAGGAAAAGAGAAAGATGGAAAGAAATAAGATACAAAGCAAAGGTTTAATAGGTTAAAAGAGAGAGAGAGGAACATAGTCATAGACTGAACCACATAAACTGTAGTTTACTTAGGTTGCAATATGAATAAGATTTTTAAGCATCCTATCAGCAATTCAGCAAGGAACTATATTATTCACAGATCTACAACTGCTTTTAGTCATCCATTAAAC